CCAAGTTCTCGCCCAATTCTTTGGAGATCTTCCTCAGATCTCTCAGCGAGATCTTGCCCGTATTATCGGTATCAAACAGTTTGAATGCGCGTAAGATTTCTTCTCTAGGATCTCTGGCTTGGATCTTTTCCGTCACTTAATCACCCCCGCCAAAAAAAGATCAGCGATTGAAAAATGTGGAGTGATCAAGAAGAAGAGCGACTTACTGACTTTATCGAATTCGTTAAATTCGATCAGTCCTTGGCCTTGTTTGTCATGATCCCTTAAGATCTTCAGGATCTCGGGTTTCTTCAATTCGAATCCTAAGGCTCTCATTGCTACTTTAAGTTCATGATCTTTATAAGATCCGGATAGTTTTTGTTTGAAGATTAGTTAGTCAAAGAGAGTATGATGATAGGAGGAGGAGCGGAAGCAGAAAGAATGAGACAGACAATCGATTGCGCCATCTTTATCGGTATCGAACAACTCGAAGGCCTCCTTGATTTCCATCTTCTGTTCCTCGGTCAACTCTCTGAGCATATTCTGATCTCCCCCATCGTCATCCAGTCCGGCCATCCCGCCTAGCCTGGCTCTCCGGGAGGGCAGAGGGGTATTATTGCTCGTGATCACTTGCTGCTGGTGACGGGTGTTCATGTTGAGGTTGTTCTGGTTTGAGGCGCTGGTGATTGTGGGGTTGCTGGTCGGTACGGTGCGTCTGGTCTTCTTCTGCATCTGCATGTTTGATGGTCCCACGAGCCCAGGGTTTGATGGTCCGACGTTCGGTGTGCCGTGGTTGTTGTTGTTGTTGTTGCTGTTGCTGTACATGTAATGATGATGGTGGTTGGTAGTGGTCTCCTTGGTTCGCTCTGGTTGGCTTTGAGGGTGGTTGTTGGTCGTCGATAGCTTTCTGCGGGTGAGTGACTGGAGGACGCGTCTCGAAACTCAGCCCAACCCAAATGACCCTTCTTTTTCACGCGACCACCCCATCGGACAGGCAGACTCAGATCGACTGATCACTCAGATCATCAAACAGAAGAACTCAGCAAAAAAAAAAAAAAAAAAAAAAAACACTGCACAAAAAAGAAACACAAACTGAACATCTTGATCTATTAGACTCAAAGTGCATGACACCTCACTACTACATATTCATAAAACCATTCCAAAATATGTGCTAGTAATCTAGTATAGTCTTTCCAGTGGTTTTCTGCCTATCTTCCTACATATGCAAGAATTGTGAACCGGCCACCCAAAAAAAAAATCTATAATTAAACTCAAACCTATAGAAAAAAAAGTGGGTTATGATCACTTTTCCAGCTGTATAACTATAATTAACTACTTGATTATAACACTTCTTCTATTCTGTCATATACACATAATTCGTCAAGAGATGAGGAGTTGGGAGGATGATGTAGCAATGAAAATTTCTGCTTCTCTCCCTTCAAATCTGTTGAGAACAGCCTATCCATTTGTCCTTCACTCTCTCCCCAGCCTGGGGGGGTTAATATTCATTTTGAATATCTGATTGCTGTGTTTATGCAATATGAATCTTGACTCCCCGACTGCCAAGACTTGGCTTGGTCGATCACAGACAAACAAAAAACCAACCAAACAACTTCTCCAGCAAGGACTTGGACAGATAGATCTCCAACTCATGTAGCTGACGAACTGCTGGTCAAACGAATCATTAATAAATTGGTAAAGTAACTTTTCATCTGAAATAGCCCAAATTCCAAACAGATTCACTGACTCCCAGTCTCCTCTCACAATTATCACGGCTGTAATAGGAACTCAAACTACTTGATGGTCGTCTTTAGGAAGAAGAAGAAGAAAAACAGAAACAGGGCTTTCATCTGACGGAATCATCAATAATCCAATCAGATGAGGTTCACACTCGTACCTCACTCTGGTCTCACAAAGCAACTCAGCTCACTCCAAGCTAATTCCAACTCAATCAAACGTCACTCTGCTCTCATCATGCCCATCAATGAAATACCACATCAGCCTCACCAGAAGAACGATCCAAGCTGTTCAGACTCTCATCGAACTGGAACACATGAAAAACTACTTCCACTGGGCGATCAAGCTAAGAAACCTCTCAAGAGCCACAATCCAAATACTCAAATCGTAAGCCTCTAATCTAGTGATATGTTCGCTATCCAGTTGCCACCTCATCGAAACTGACTCTCAAACATATTTCCATAGACTATCAGCGGCTTTCCATTCTCCGATCGTGCCCAACCACCCCATCTTAGTCATCATCAGTCACATCAATCAAAGAATCTCGAACAAGTCACCCCATCCCTCGCCAATTCTCAATCTCTTTCCAACTTCTTACGCTCCCTGGAGAATCAAGATTTTCAGGCGACCCTCGCCAATTTCAATCGACTCACTGCTTCCCAAAAGTCTCGTCTCTCAACTCATGTCTATGATTCCTTGTTTTGGTTGGCCGGTCGAATCCTGGAGGAAGACAAGATCATCAATCCGATTAACGACCATTACCAACCTAATACCGCACCTCAGAACCTATTGATCGAATCAGGAAGGCAGAATCATTCCTATACGATCGATTATTGTCAAGTCCAGGCCCGGTTAATGAAAGTCAATGATCTGTTCCATTCCATCCAACGCGCTCTATCACCCGATCAGCTTCATTTTTACCTCCAAAATACCATCCTATCTGCGGCCCTCGTTTTACGAAGATCTTATCAATCATCTAACAGCCAAGCTCCAGATGAACATTCCAGGGAGATCTTCTTAGAAGCCCGGGAACAAATCTCGGGTATTATTGAAAGGCTACCAGCACTCCATCAGATACCCACCCCAACGGCCGACCAACTAGCAGAAGCTGTTCCGTTCGAAATTCTCGGTCTCTATTCTCGTTTTTTGGCAGTCTTCCATCAGCCTAACCAGGGGCTCAAGTTGATGCGAAAGGTTTACTATGGATATCTGATCAGTCGACGACGGAAGATGATAACTGAAGAAGAACTTCCAGACCCCAATCATCACCGAGCTCAATCAAACGATTCATCAGCCATCGAAACCGGCTCATTGATCATCTCACTCTTGCGTCAAAAGATTCATCATCGGCTGGCCGCGCTCAAGTTGGCTGTTCGAATGATCACCATCGGTGGACTCTATCCCGACCAGTTCCATCTGACTAGTCTGCTCCGACGGATGTACATGTCCAAACCTGAGTGGGATTCGACCCTAGAATTCTTGGCCCAATTACCAGATCGATCGGCCTCTCGTTGGTTACAAACTCAAGTGGCGATCGTCGAAGCTGAAGATGGAAGGGTCGAACGGGTCCTCAAGTTATCTGCCGAAGCATTAGAACTACCCCCTAGCTTACAGGGAGATTTCTTGGCACCTGATGCAATCAACTCGGAGATCTTTGCTCATGCTATCCAAGGATTGATCATTAACTACGAAACGCCAAATTCAGATCTTGCCTCAGGCTTACGAGGGGCCATAGCCATCCGGACGAGGATGGTCAAATCGGGTATCCTGCCTGATTCGGAATCCGACGACCTGATCCTCCGACGGATATGTAGTGTTGCTCAAGGGATCAAGTCACCTGTTAGCAGACACGAGTTCCTCTCGGAGATGATCGGGGGGATGTTCCCGACTTCGAAGATCGTCCCGATCCGATCAGAACCGTTGAGGAGCTTCAGATTTACATCCCATCCAGGGAAGTCGCCTGAGGCATTCAGACTGATGAGATTATTGATGGAATTCAACGAGCTCGATCTCTCCCTGCACCTCTTCCAGTCAATCTCTCGATACGGCTACGTCAGCAGTCTCACCTCCATCCCGTTCTCCTATCTGAAGCGCTTGTTGGGGAAGGCTTTGCACTGTCACCCCGAGTTGGCAATGGAGCTTTACCAACACTTGCACATGTCCGGCTCGGATCGGACGGGCGAGTTATTCGGAGCGGTCAAGGCGAAGGCTATCGAGATGGGTGACGACCGACTGGCGGAGTATCTTCTCAAGATCTCAGACGGCCAAGATCGGAGTCCGCATGCGACTCGGATTACCAGCTTCATCGCCGGCTTTTCCAGGAGGAGAGCCAGCCCAGGAAACGTGGCCAAGACGTTGTCTCTGTTCAATTCGTTGTGGAACCGATGGTCGGGCGCATCGATCGAGCCCCCCGTCTGGGCCGCCCTCTCCGACCAAATCCTCCGGCTCGGCCCCCTCAAGCTCGCCCAACGTCCCGAACTCAGGCCGCAGATCGATCTGATTCTCAGGCGATTGGAACAGGCTGCTCTCGAGCCCACCGAGTTGATCAAGATCAAGAAAAAGATGATCGAGGTGGTCGAAGTCAGCAAATTGATCCAACCGGATCTGCCCATTCCGATCGATCATCACTCCCAACGACCAGAAAAAGAATCACCTCATCATCTATCTACAAATCAACAACCTTTTAAGGACGACAATCAACTCTTGAATGTGATTGATCCTTCGATTCAAACCTTTGAAGATTTGATCGCCCTTTATATCAGAGAGAACCGGCTGGATCGGGCGGTTGAGGCCAGTCAAAGAGCGATCGGGAAGGAGATCTTGGTCAGAGGGCCGATGATGGGCCGACTGTTGAACACATTGGTCGACGAACTTGGGCGTTATTGTCAGTCTCAAGATGATGATGATGATGATGATGATCATCATCCTCATCAAAATGAGACGACGGAGAAGGAGAAAGACGACAATCGGGCAGTAAACGGGGCTTGCAGTCGTGATACTCTGGTCGATTCTATCCTGCTTGTCAATCAGGAATGGCGAGCGATTGCTTGGAAAGCTCATCCAATCCTTAGAGGAAACGATGCAGAGGTCGTCCGGGCTATGGAGCGGTTCTATCGACTCGCTCTATCTCCTCCTCAATCTTCCTGTCCTTCTTCTTCTTCTTCTTCGTAGTCTTAACTAACAAAAAAACACACACACCTTGTCTTCCGTTGCCCTATTTTTGGTTTGTTTGTCAAATGAATAAATTAAAGCATGGCTTATCAGGTTTATTGTACAACTTGATGGCCTCATTTTTTTTAGGTGCTTGTCATCAACTTTTCAGAATTTCTTGAGTTTTTTTGTTTTTGAATGGTTTGGAAGATTCAACATTACATAGGAGTGTTTATGTAGCATGATCACCAAATCGGTTTCTTGGTCGATTTTAAAATCTTATTTTTGTTTGCGGGCACGCCACTGATCCTGTTTGATGTTATATTCCACTATATCAAAAAAAAAGAGATGCTTTCTCAATCATCTCAGCCTCAGATTAAGCCAGAGCAGCTGAGGTTTCTCCTGGTTACAGTAGCCACCTTCTGAGGATTGGAGATTGGTTCTATTGAGATCCCATTTGCACTTGACAAGTATTAAAGTTAACTGGCCCGTTTCCATTTCATTTGGACATGGGGCTCGGGCTGAGCTTTGACCCTACCCATTCCAGGGCCTCAGATCAGGTGTGGGAATGGGCTTTGAGCCCGGGCCCGGAGCAGCGAGTGTTTCCCTTTTGAATGGTGCATTGTGCTTGATGGCCATTTCTCATTCTCCATGAAACACTCGCTTGTCTATCGCAATGGAAGTTCAGTCAATCGCTGTCAAATCATTCGAAATTATCAAACCAAAGGATTCCTCTAAACCATACGTTCTCGTAAGTAAGACCATCCCATTTCTGGGGCCAAGACCTTTATGGATCCGTATTGACATCACTTGTTCGTGGTATGTATGTATATTTCCAGTATACAATTGAAATCGGTACCAAGCTCAAGTCGTACACGGTATGTCGGCGGTATTCGCAATTCGAACGCTTAAGTGAAGATCTCAAGCTCGAGCTCGATTCAGCTGTCTCTCGTCGTTGGTTGCCCATCTTACCGCCCAAGTCGACGAGCTTGGTCGGCTACCTCACCGGCTCAGGCAGTCTCATCAACCAGCCATCGAAGATTGCCGAGCGTCAGGCGGGTCTCGAACGATGGTTGAAGACGGTGATCGTTCACAAGGAGCTCAAGGATAAGACCTCCAAGAGTCGGGCACTCATGGATTTCTTAGAGATTCCATCAAGCCTCAATTCAACTTCATCTTCGGCAACCCATAAGTCAAGTCACATGGATGATCATTCTGCCAACCCTTTCACCTCTCAAAGCTGGCTCGCCGAACATAATGAAATCCGGGCCAGTGTAAGGGAGATGTATGATTTGCTCTCCCGGCGGGACGAACTGCTCCATCAGTCCACATCCACCTCAGTCACTCTCACCAAACTTAACCAGATCAACGTCGATGGCAAGCGAAACTTGGAAAACATTACTGCTCGACTCGGACGACTGACCGAAAGCCTCAAACTATTCACCCAACCCGATACTCCAAAGGGTCGTGGCACCCTTACCGAAGGAGAAACGTCGAGGAGAATGCAACTGATATCTACATTACAAGACGATTGTGAGCGCTTGAGCAAGAAGATTTTAGCACGGGCCGAAATTGGGACGGGGATACGACAAGCAAACCAGGTACTCTCCTCAGAGTCGGCGTCTCGCGATCGAGCGGAATTGCTAGGCACTCATAGCAACGGCTCCAACAGTCGACCGACCACCAGAGTCCTAGGAGGAGGCGGTCCTACTGGATCCGCTTCACGTAATTTGCCGGCAGAAGAGACGGTCGAAACTAGACAACGAGACAACCGGCGATTAATGGACCATCAACTAAACCACGTGATCGCCCAAACTCAAGACGACAAATTGAAATCGCTCACTCAAATCCTTTCTAGACAGAAATTGCTAGGACTGATGATCAATCAGGAATTGGCCGAACAGAATGAGATCCTCGATGACTTGGATAGAGATGTCGATTCGGCGTCCAGGAAATTGAAGGAGGCTACAAAGAAGATTAATCGGCTCACTTGATCTTCCTTCCTTGTGCTTTTTTGCATACTGCTTAGAACTCATCAAAGACTAGGACTCTCTTTCGGATCATTCACCTTGCATCTTACTTCTACACTTCATTCAACTTATCATTAGCTTTCGAATTACGTCAATGTACTTTTTTTTTCGTTGTGGTCCGCAATCGTTTATTAATTTATTCACTATTTATCCACTTTTTTTTATCAATCTACAAGGAGGAACTTTTTCAATCAGATTATTGTGTGTTCCTTTGTTTCTTTCTTTCCATTATCTCCTTCTCCTAATTGGGGTTTTCACTGAACCATCAAGGTATCCACAATTTCCTCCCAACTTACACTGTTGCATAAATATGTATATGTATCATAACGAATAGGGGGTTTTCATATCTCTCCACAGATTATAGTAGCTCTCATCCCTAGTACTTGATTTTGCATTTCTTGGCTTTAAGGGGTGGATGAAACTAACATCACAAAGTGCCCTTCACAATGGGTATCCTGCATTGTGAAATCCCATCATTGGTCCTGGTTCAAATAGGGTGAAAAATGGTTGGGGTGTTTTTTTGGGGGGTGTTGTGACCAAAAGCAGAAAACTAGAGAAGTGGGATGTTATTAAAAATTGCTTCCTCAATATTCTGGGCTAGAAAAGGGATTTAGTGAGTGCCACCCTTTGGTGGTTTTAATTTCAAATCCATCAAGCTGATGATTCCTAAGGCCAAAATCCCACAGGCTCCCTCTGTGACACATTCCACAGTCCTCTAGAGTCTTAGAGTGGCAAGAGACCAATCTTTGATGCTGAAAGAATCCTATCTATAATTCTGGCTTTCAGATTCCACTGCTTCACTATGTCCTTTCCTTTGCCACACCTAGTCAATATCCACCTTGCCATCCATCACCACGCCCTCTGTTTGTCCAAATCATGACACCACCTGGCCAGCCATGCTGCCCCCTTTCTCCTAATCACAGATACCCCTTGATTCTGACTCAACTTCATGCATTCTCCCTACAGAATTTTTTGCTCTCTTCCTTCCTCTTTCACAAGCATGTCACTCCTTTTCTGGAACTCTCACTCCTTTTCTGGAACTCTCACTCATTTTCTGGACTCTCACTCTTTTCTGGAACTCTCACTCATTTTCTGGAACTCTCACTCCTTTTCTGGAACTCTCACTCCTTTTCTATCACTCTCACCCATTTTCTGTCACTCTCACTCCTAACTTCATCAGTCTTCTGGGCACTTCTCCGTGAGGTCCCTACAAGATAAAGCCTCTTGGAGTATGAGCTCTTTTCTGCCATGAAATCTAGAATCTACACCATGGGATAGGCTTTTAGAAAAAACAAAAACCAGCAAACAAATGGTTTCTGTCCCAGGCAGCCAAAACTTGGTTGAGAAACATCCAAGGGATGCTCAGGAACGCCTGGTATCACTTGAATGCTTCAGAAAGTATTCAAGTGATGCTTGGAAGGTTAAACCATCCAGAATATGGTATACATCCCACCGTCCATTGGACACTTGATTGAGAGTGTCCAATGGACAACAAAAAAAATCAGACATTTCTCAGAGTGTTTTCACATTGGTCTGGCAGTCAAAAAGATTGGTTGATTGTCAAAAAACAAGCTTGGAGGGTGGTCAACGGTCAAAAATTTATCCAGAAATGTGTTGAGGGGGATGTAAGGGTTGCAATCCCTTCACTAAATTCTTATGGAAATGGAACCGGAAGATGGGGCTGAGGGAGACTTTCTAAAACCAATGTGTAGTATTTATTTCTAGCTCAGCAGAATTGATAGTGAAGTCGGAGTCTCTCTGATCAGTACATGATTTGATAATCTCAGAAGAAGAAAGAGAAAGAAAAGAAAGGAAAAGAAAAAAGGAAAGAAAAAAGGAAAGAAAAGACAAAAGTGAGAACCAAAGAAATGAGTAGCTCACCTAGCTCACCAGAATTGATAGCAAAGTGCAAGTCTCTGCTGAGCTAGATGGGGAGCGGGGCGGTGAGTGTTGAAATAGTCAATGAATTGTTGATTATGTAATCTTCTTGCGAAACCTGTAGTTCAAGTTTTCACAGGGGATTTGGGTAATGTTTGGGGGTAACAGTCATGAAGCCATGTAGTGTAGTGTTTTTATACACTACGGTCATTTGGCTGTTGTGTCAGTGTGGACCTGCAGTGCCAAATTTAGGATTGTGGTATCCAACACCTGCAAAACCTGTGAAATTGAATCAAACAGCTATTAAGTTGGTGTAGCATCATATCTTATTTGAGTGGTTCAAGTTGCAGGCTGGTTGATCTTTGGATCAAATCAATCAATTGCCCGCTTTTTAGTCCAGCTGGAAGAACAGCCAAAGCAGAAACCTGGTGGCTGTTGAGCATGGTTAACTAGAGGATATTTTTGAAGTCCATCATGAGGGTATTTCCAGCACTCCTTCAGCCACTTTAAACTGCAAAATCTACCCGCCAAGGTCACACCCATGGCAAGTTCAACCCTGATTTTTGACATTGGATGCAACCAAAACCATCACATCAGTTCTTTGTTACCCTTCTCTTGGAGCTTGGCAACCACCAAATCTTTCAACCGCTGTTGGGATCACAATTCAACTGGCTGAAGGTTCACTTCAAGTTTTCATTTGGACAAATCTTTCTCTCCAGACACTTTCAAGTTGCACCTTGTCTAAATTTCAACTCTCCCATTCTACACAACCATAACTAATCTAGCTTTGTGTCAAGACTCGTCACTCATTTTCCAGTTTGGCTACCGTCTTCTCATTTTGTTGGACAAATGATCTATGTATCTATCCTTCAGGGTGTCCTTTCCTTCAAAGCAGGCTGAATCTCTTCTCTGTGATGACCAACACCATAGAAAATTAAAACAACACATTGGTCATATTTTATGTTTTAGTTAAATTGAAGTATCAGTTTCTTTCTCCTAAAGATTAAAATGGTTTGTGACTTACTTGATTTTTTTTAAAAGAATGTTGAGATTTCTGCTATTGAGGATTGACCTAAATATTTGAAAAATTTGGATTAATTAGAATTTGGGACTTGGAAAAACAACTCCCGTTTTTTTTGCCAACGACTCCCAATGACCATCAGCGGACGTCTGTTGGGAGTCCTCTTCTAAAGTATGGGCGGACTCTGAGAGTCATCCACCCAATTTCAAATTCAATTTTTGTTATTTTTTGGGGAGTTGACTCCCCAAACCACCCCTCATGTATGAGGGGGTTTGGGAGTTGCGCCCACTTGACCAGAAGGAACCCCTTCCGGTCAGTGAGGAAGGTAAATCTCATTGACCAGAAGGGATTCCTTCCGGCAATGAGGAAGATGTCCCTCATGGACTGGAAGGGATCCCTTCCGGTTGATGAGGAAGATTCTAGTGATCAGAGAGGACGCATCGCCTCGGGGAATCCCTGCTGGCAAGCTGGAGTAACTGCCAGGTCGTCCGAAGGGATTTCTTCCAACAAGGTTACCCTCTTGGTGGGAGGAACCCCTCCCAACGAGAGCTCACTTCAATAGTTAATGCTGAAAGAACAATGACTTACAGTGCTAAAAAGCAATGTGTCATACTCCAATAGGAGTAGCTGTTAAAGATGAACATAAGACCTAAGCTAATGATAATATTTCAAACATCAGTACCTGGCTATCGATGCGTCTTGACCTACAACCTGGCCATTAGGCCTAGCCATGGTCATACCAGACCAGCAGCAGGTGTACTCGACTCAAGAGTGAACCCACTCCAAAACACGCTTGAACAATGGCTCGGGGACTTGGCTAGCAGCGACGCGACCAATGTGCCGAGTCATCTTTACCACACCCTTGATCATGATTACACCAAAGCTACCATGCCCTTTGAAGAACTCAAGGGTGAAGACTTGTTGCAAATATGTGCACTGAAAAGTTTAGCACGCAAGCTCCCTTTCAAAATTTTCTTCACGGTATTGGAGCAATGGAAGCAGGGAACTGTCTCTCGGCCGCGTTGGAGAGTCAATAAACGCACTGGCTGCTACACCGACTCTGAATCCTACGATAGCCATCATGAGATTGACATGGTACTTTCTACTAGCACCATTGTGAAGTCACTTTGTGCACTTGATGGTACCATCATAGCCAGAAACTATGACTTTGACTCACACTTTTGTCTGGTGAAGCATCCTTTCTGAGTTTTAAGAGCAGCCAGCGAAAGCTATGAATACCAGGGAAATTCTGTGCGTCTCTTGCTTGTACATATCTGGCCCAGCTTCAAGGTTAAAATACTAACTGGAAATCTTTACATTCACACGCGCAGGACGCCGATGTCGACCATTGGTACCGTCGTTCAGCTGTTGCTATTGTTCCACACAAAAAAATAGGTGAATTTATGGCGCAATGCACATTTGGGCCCACAGTCGATGAATATGAAGGACTTGAATCCCCAGACAGTACAGATTCTGGTGTACATACCCTCTCGTTGGGAGGAACCCCACCCAACGAGAGGGTATTTATCCCAGCTCATCAGGAGGAATCCCTCCCGGCAAGCTGGTACACAATCCGGCTCGCCGGGAGGGATTCCTCCCAACGAACTGGTGTACATACCAGCTCGTCGGAAGGGATTCCTTCCAACAAACTAGTGTATGTACATAGTCTCTCGTTGGGAGGAACCCCTCCCGACGGTGTGGCCTTTGCTTCTCTAGGCCGAGGGGGGGTGGGGGTTTTTTTTTTCTTCTTTTTTTTTGAAAAAACATTCCCTGCTGGGAGGTTATCCTTCCAGCCGGCGATAGTTGACCTGTGAAAGGGCGGGTATCCGCGGATATCCGCACGGATACCCGCCCGCGGATGCAGATGCAGATGCGGATGCGTGATTCCGCTGAAATCTTGAGCGGATATCCGCATCCGCGCAGATATCCGGATTCAACGCGACCATCTCTAGTGTGGTAAGAGCATCTCCACCGCGGGCCCCATTTGCGGGGCCCTATATGCCTCCAATAGGGACCAAAAAAATGGATAGCGACCAAGCCGGTTTTTTTTTTCCACCGCTAGCGGGTGTATCGGCCTTAAAAGTCGGTGAAAGCCGATCGGTCGGAGCTGTAGTGTGATTGAGGATGTGTGAAACCTTCCGATGTCGGAAGGTTCACACGGGATGGGACCGATCAGCCGGGCCCTATCGAGTCTGTATATATACAGCTTGATAGGGACTTTCGACCCTGGTCCCCATTATAGGGCCCCACATAGGGGCCGCGGTGGCTGTGGTTTTGGGACTCGCGGGCCCTATATGTGGGATAGGGCCCCTACATAGGGCCCGCGGTGGAGATGCTCTAAGCCAATCCTGAATCTTCAAGCACATCAAGAGCAACAAATCACACAAAAATCACAGGATCAAGACCCCTCAGGAATTCCCCAGGTCCTCAAACCAATCCAAACAGCACCCATTAATCCCCTCAAGCACAGACCACATGGATAATGATATTTCCCAACAGAAACTCCACACCCTTTAAACTTACTCCCCTCAAAACATATTCCATTCTTCTTACCCCTTGTGTCTCACACTAGT